TTTTTTTTTTTTTTTTTTTTTTTTTTTATGTAATATTAATGATATATTTTTGTATAATGTGGATAAATAAATGTATTTTTTACTGATAAGTTTGTGTAATGTATTTTTTTATGTTAAATAATTTTTTGTGTTTTTTATTTATTGAGGTATTAAAATTTTATTTTGTAATTTTTTAATGTTAAAATGATATCATATGAATAAAAATTTAACACACTCAAACAAGTTTATTTCATTAAAATTAAAGTTTACAACACACATAAATCATAAATAACATAAATAACATTTTATATAAAATTATTTGAAATAAAAATAATTAAAATATATTTTTATTATTTGAGTAATTAACATTTTATATAAGATTAAATATGCATATATACCAATTTATTTGAAATAAAAAATGAATAAAAATAATATATTTAATGTAGAGTAAAATGTAGAGATAAGAGTTGGAGATGAATGTCCAACTCTACTCTAGAGAGAGTAAAATCCGCGCTAGAGTAGAGATAAGGGCTGGAGATGGTCTAAGGTGTTTGCTATATAATTAAAGCCAATAAGATTATTTAAAAAAATTGCTTAATGAGATAAAAACAAAAGTGAATATTGATTTTAAAATGAACGAATTGAATAAAAAGTTTCACAATATAATTTTTTATGCTTATCTAATGAAATTCATGTACATCATTTAGTGTAAAGTATAATAAGTTAGTTTTTGATATAATTAGTTAATTTTAATAATAATTATTATATGATAAAATAATCAAGAAAAATATAATTATTACATAAACATAAAGACTTTTTAATATATATAGGGGTACTCTGACTTTAGCAGAGGATCTAGTTCCACACCCATCCGCTTATCTTATATAAGAGAATATAGAAACGTCAGCGTACCTACAATTGCTTGCTTGGTTGCCCTCTTGCTTTAGCTACTTACTCGGGAACTAGCTTTGCACCTACTTGTTGTGTCTCCCGTCATAAGCCGGCCTATATGAGGGATTTACTTAGAAAGTTAGCCTGTTTGAATAGAATCGTAAACGAAAGCGCTCTATCGCTACACCTGATCTCTTTACTTACTTACTCTTACGCTCTGCTTAGGCTACCTTTGTCAAAGAGGTCCGATCCTGGGTTGGTTGCTCGGGGGTTCCTCCTCTTGATCACCCTCAGCCATGAGTCCGCTGGTTCTGATCTTCTGGGATTTCCAAGGGTCCTTTCTCAGGGCTGTTGGGCTTGAGGTCTTCAGTTAGGTGATCAGTTATGTAGGCGTAAGGTCATCAAAAATAAAATAATCAAGAAAAATATAATTATTACTTAAACATA